GTCATTCTTCTTTTGTACTGCCTAGTGTTTTGACATGCTATCAGAGCAGGTCGACCCCCTTGGGTCGATCCTGTGGGTGGGCCCGCCACCTAACTGCTTCCGCTGCTGTTCTGCTTCTCGCGCGCCCCGGGCGCGCGCCGTCTTCTTCCTGCCGTGCGCTCGGGGCTAGCGGCGAGTTTCTGCCCGCCGTGCACCCCGAGGCGCGCGGCGGTTTTCTGCCGTGGGGGACCCGCGCGCAACACCCCGCCCTTCCCGTCGCGTCGCCCTGCAGGCCGCGCGCGGGTCTGCAGGGCGCGTGCGGCCCGTCTGCCCGTCGCGCGGCCTTGGGGAGCAGCGCGCGGCCCCCTCCCTTCCCGTCGCGTCGCCCTGCAGGTCGCGCGCGGGTCTGCAGGCCGCGCGCGGCCCGTCTGCCCGCCGCGCGGCCTTGGGGAGCCGCGCGCGCCCCCCGCACGTCCGTCGCGGCGCCCTGGGGAGCCGCGCGCGCCCCCCTGCCCGTCCGTCTTGGCGCCCTGGGTAGGAGCGCGCGGCCCCTCCTGTCCCGTCCCCCCCCCCCCCCCCCCCCCCCCCCCGTGCTGCCCATTCCTCCCGTGCCGCCGTGCGTTCCGCGGTGGTGGGGGGTGTGGGGTGGCAAGCATGGGGGTGCGCGGTGTGGGTGTTCCCCTCCTCCTTGTTCGTCTCCCACTGCTGCAGCTGCTGCTGAGGGGGGTGGAGGTGTGGGAGCCGCGGGGAGTGGAGTTGTGGGGGTGACGTGGGAGTGGAGCTAGGGGTGCAGCAGGGGGTGTGTGGAAAGGAGGTGGGACTGTTTGGGGAGGCTGAGAGGAGGCCGCCGTCGTGTCGTGCGCAGCGCCTGTAGTCCGGAGCCGTCGCGCTCTCGGTAGCCCAGAGAGCCTTGCTGTGCCAGTCGCCTGTGGGTCCGTTGCTCCTGCCGTTCGTCGTAGCCGCGGAGCCAGATACTCCTGTAGTTTGGTGCCCTCGTGCGCTCGGTAGCCACTGTGCCAGTCCTCATGTTGCCCGTGTGTCTGCAGCTTCAGCCGTCGTCTCCCATCTTCTCTCCCTTCACAATTCCTCCTCCTCACTTGCCCTCTGTAATCGCCTCTAGCTTTGCATATAATTTTGAACTATTACTATGCCTGCTCATTGTGCTGATTACACCCCACTTTGGCTATGGGGGTGTGTCAGAATGTTATTATCTAGCCTGTAGTGGGGTGCTCTATAGCGAGTATAACCCAGTTAGGGTTTGCTATATGTATCCCAACTGCTGCTAGTGAAATCCCTCTTTCGTCATTCTTCTTTTGTACTGCCTAGTGTTTTGACACCTGTCACTTACCAACCCGACGACCTGGTTTTACTTGACACCCAGAACCTCCGCCTGCCCGTCACCCCAAAACTCCGCCCCCGATACTGTGGACCATTTCGCATCAGCCACATGATCACACCCGTCACCGCCCACCTCCTCCTCCCTGCTGACTGGTACGTCAGCCCCTCATTCCACGTCAGCCTGCTTCGCCCTTACGTCTTGTCCACGAGCCAACTGCCACGCACTCGCCCAGCCAGCATGACACGACCGCCAACTGAACTAATCATCACCCCCGAAAAAATCCTGAGCCACCGAGTTCGTGACCCTCGAGGAGCCCGAAGGATCGAGTTCCTGATCCGCTGGAAAGACCGTACACCCACCGAAGACAACTGGGTTCCCCTGGACAGAATCGAAAACCACCCCGTCCTCACCGAGTATCTGCGCAGCCGAAACTTCAGGGATGTACACGCACTTTCGTAAGGAGGACCTCCTTAAGGGGGGGGGTAGTGTAAGGAAAATTCCTTTTCCTTACTTCGCGTCCCCGCTCAGCGCGTACACCACTATAGCCCCACAGTCAGCACCGTTACCACTCGCAACTCTCGCATCGACAATCCTCCCGCCACCTTCGCACGTCGCACCCCGACCTCACGGCTCGGCGGGTAACCCGCGCTCCGGGCCTCCGCTTCGACACTTTTCCCAACCTCAGTCCCAGGCCCGTCACGCGACAACCTCAGTTCGTTCACTCAATTGCACTCGTAACAGTATTAGTCTAGATGGTCAGGCAGGTCGACGCTCGGACGATTGTTCCCTAGGCCACCCATGCTTCAGTTTGCTGCTCGGAGGGAAACTGTAGGTCGACACTTCAAAAAGGGTGGCCTGATTTTGAAAACCTCATTATAGCTTGTCTATTGACGATATGTGATGCTGTTTACAACGGTAGTTTACTGTACTCCTTCCTCAGTCCATCGTCCATTTAAAGCCCAAGACCTGAATTACTCAACGGAAGTCAACGCTAAAAACTAGGTTCGGGAGGCAGGCACGGAGAGGTTCGGTTGGGTTGCGAGAGACTTTCACTCGCGAAACCAATTTGCGACAAAAGTTTCTCGCTTCCCATGATGGGTGGGGTCCTTCCCACAACCAGAAAAGCACGTGCATACCAAACTGTGCACAGTTTGAGATAGCACGCATAGTAATAGGCATAGACCATACCTGTAGACAGGGCAGGGCGTCGGCGTTCACTCAAAAGGGATCAGATGCGCCTTACGATGTGGGTGGCGCGGATTTTGATGATGACGCGCAAAGCTAGTGCTCGCTGGGTGAAGATTTTTGTGTCGAAATGCATTTTATTGTGCAACTACTGCATAGCGTAAACTCGCGGCGAAAATCGAATCGCACCCGTTCGCCCAAGCGTGACCCTCCCCCCGCCCTCGCTTTCATTTCCCTAGGTCCCACGCTTCCGCTCTCTGTCGCCCGCGTCGTCGCCATCGCTTCCGCAGCTCGTCGCGTTCGCGACCCCTGCCCGTCGCCTTCGCTCCGCCCGTCGCCTTCACTTCCCCCCCGTCGCCTTCACTCCCCCCCCCCCCCCTTCCCCCCCATTCCGTCGCCTTCACTTCCCCCTCTCGTCGCCTTCACTTCCCCCTCCCGTCGCCTTCACTTCCCCCTCCCCTCGCCTTCACTTCCCCCTCCCGTCGCCTTCATTTCCCCTCCCCGTCGCCTTCACTTCCCCTCCCGTCTCCTTCATTTCCCCCTCCCGTCGTCTTCACTTCCCCTTCCCGTCGCCTTCACTTCCCCCTCCCGTCGCCTTCACTTCCCCTTCCCGTCGCCTTCACTTCCCCCTCTTGTCGCCTTCACTTCCCCCTCCCGTCGCCTTCACTTCCCCCTCCCGTCGCCTTCACTTCCCCCTCCTCTCGCCTTCACTTCCCCCTCCCATCGCCTTCACTTCCCCCTCCCGTCGCCTTCATTTCCCCCTCCCCATCGCCTTCACTTCCCCTCCCGTCTCCTTCATTTCCCCCTCCCGTCGCCTTCACTTCCCCTTCCCGTCGCCTTCACTTCCCCCTCCCGTCGCCTTCACTTCCCCTTCCCGTCGCCTTCACTTCCCCCTCTCGTCGCCTTCACTTCCCCCTCCCGTCGCCTTCACTTCCCCCTCCCGTCGCCTTCACTTCCCCCTCCCGTCGCCTTCATTTCCCCCTCCCCGTCGCCTTCACTTCCCCTCCCGTCTCCTTCATTTCCCCCTCCCGTCGCCTTCACTTCCCCCTCCCGTCTCCTTCATTTCCCCCTCCCCGTCGCCTTCACTTCCCCTCCCGTCTCCTTCATTTCCCCCTCCCGTCGCCTTCACTTCCCCTTCCCGTCGCCTTCACTTCCCCCTCTCGTCTCCTTCATTTCCCCCTCCCGTCGCCTTCACTTCCCCTTCCCGTCGCCTTCACTTCCCCCTCCCGTCGCCTTCACTTCCCCTTCCCGTCGCCTTCACTTCCCCCTCTCGTCGCCTTCACTTCCCCCTCCCGTCGCCTTCACTTCCCCCTCCCGTCGCCTTCACTTCCCCTTCCCGTCGCCTTCACTTCCCCCTCCCGTCGCCTTCACTTCCCCTTCCCGTCGCCTTCACTTCCCCCTCTCGTCGCCTTCACTTCCCCCTCCCGTCGCCTTCACTTCCCCCTCCCGTCGCCTTCACTTCCCCCTCCCGTCGCCTTCATTTCCCCCCCCCCCGTCGCCTTCATTTCCCCCTCCCCGTCGCCTTCACTTCCCCCTCCCGTCGCCTTCACCTCCCCCATTTCCCCCCTTCACGCTCTCTTACCCCCTCTGCTCGCCCCTGTTTTCCCGGCTCACTCCTATACTCACTCTCTCCCTCCCTGCTCACTCTCTTCCCCCCTGCTCACTTTCTTTCCCCCTGTTCTCATCCCTCTTTCCCCCTTTCTCACCCATTTCCCCCCTGCTCGGTCTATTTCCCCCTGTGCTCGCCCCTAAAATCCCCTGCTCACTCCCTTACCCCTTGTTCACTCTCTCCCCATCTGGTCACTCTCTTTCCCCCTGTACTCACCCATCTTTCCACCCTGTTTACTCTCTATTCCCCTTTGTTCAACCCTTTTTCCCCCCCAAGTCCTCTCATTTCCCCTCCTTAGCCCCATGCTTACTGGCTATCCCCTTTGCTCACCGCCTTCTCCACCCTGCTCTGCTCACTCTGTTCCCCGCTTCGCTCACTCCTCTGCCTAACTCCTCCCATACATGCCCTCCACCTTCACCCCTCGCTTATTCTGCCATATCCCCTCTTCCCTCCCCGTTCCATACAGAACCATGCGTGTACAGGTGCCAGCACCATGGGTCCCAACAGGAGTGGGTTAAAAAGTTACCACCTCCTAGCTTTGTGCTTGTGCTTATAGTCTTGTCTTGGCAACATAAATGGAACATTATTTTGCTTTGTTGCACTTTTTCATAATGCTCCAAATCACGATGTGGTGTATTATGAGACGCATCCAACCAACTTCAATAACGGTACATGGCATAGCTATTGTAGACAACTAATATTATCAAACCCTATACTCATCACAACTGGATGCATGGCAGACCTGCACAGACACGAACAACAAACTCTGATGGAGGGTGGGGAACAAAGAATGCACGGAGGCAGAAAATGAGCAAGGGAAACACGGAGGAAGGGCGGAAGGGTGAGCGAGATGAAGCGTGGGTAGGGGAGAGAGAGCACGGAAATGCACTAAGGCAGAAGCGTGGGCGACGGTGAGAGGATGGGCGGATGAGATGATGGGCGGATGAGAGGATGGGCGGATGAGATGATGGGCGGATGAGATGATGGGCGGATGAGATGATGGGCGGATGAGAGGATGGGCGGATGAGATGATGGGCGGATGAGAGGAAAAAGTGCGGCTGGGTACAAGGGGGAAGGTAGAAGGGTGGAACGGAGGAGCAGGGTTGGCGTGAGGAAGGGAGTGGGAGAGTGGGAGATGGAAAGGGGAAGGGGGACTGGATCGAGGGAGGATGAGGAGAGGAAGAATGGCAGGAAAGAAGGATGGGAGGAAGGGAGGACGGGCAACAGAGAGGGTAAAGAGGGTAGGGAGGCAGAGAGATGGAGGAAGGGAGGAAGGGAGGACGGGCAACAGAGAGGGTAAAGAGGGTAGTGAGGCAGAGAGATGGAGGAAGGGAGGAAGGGAGAGGGAGAGGAGGACGACTGTGGGGGAACGACGGAACGGAGTAAGGGAGGAGGGCAGGAGGTAAAAGTGTGGTAGGGTATAAGGGTGGAACGGGGGATAGGAGGATCCCTGCACCCTCTCTCCCTAACCCCCGCCTCCCCTGCCCCGCCTCCCCCGCTCCCCTGACCCGCCCCCTGCAGCACTGCACTCCTTGCTGCCCGCCTGCACGCGCTGCCCTGGCTGTGCGCCAAACACTCTGCTCCAAAGCCGCACCACCACCTGCCATGCGTGTGGGGTTGGTGCGAGAGAGGAGAGGAGGTCAGTGCAAGAGAGAGAAGGGTGGGTGCTGCTGACCACGCACCCTTCCACACCCCACAGCGAACGAGTCACGACCCCTTCCCCAGCTCCCAGCCCAGCTCGCCATACCTCCCCGCCCAGGGTGGGTGAGAGGCTGATGGGGAGGGAGAATGAGAGAGAAGGAAATAAGGGTGCAAGGGTGGGGTGGTAACCATGGGCGATGGTAGGAGTAGAGAAGGTGGTAATGGGGAGAGCGTAAGCGACCTAACGAGGCAATTTGGAAGGGATACAACGACGACCCTAAATGCGATGGGAAGGGATGAGAGGGTGGGCGGCATGGGTGGAGACGCGATGGTGAATAGGGGGAACGTGATGGGCAGGGGAGTGATGACGACGTGGAGAGAGGTGGGAGAGAAGGGAGGTCGGCGGGAAGTCTAACCGAGGGCGATGGGAGGGCAAGCGTGGGCGACAGTGGGGGTGGGCGACGGTGGCGGTGGGCGACGGTGGGGGGAAGCATGGGCGACGGTGGGGGGAAGCGTGGGCGACGGTGGGGGGAAGCGTGGGTGACGGTGGGGGGAAGCGTGGGCGACGGTGGGGGGAAGCGTGGGCGACGGTGGGGGGAAGCGTGGGCGACGGTGGGGGGAAGCGTGGGCGACGGTGGGGGGAAGCTTGGGCGACGGTGGGGGGAAGCTTGGGCGACGGTGGGGGGAAGCGTGGGTGACGGTGGGGGGAAGCGTGGGTGACGGTGGGAGGAAGCGTGGGCGACGGTAGGAGGAACCGTGGGCGATGAGAGGGGAATCGTGAGGGAAGGTGGGGGAAGGCGTGAGCGACGGTGTGGGGAAGCGTGGGGGAAGGCAGGAGGAAGCGTGAGCGGAGGTAAGGGGAAGCGTGAGCGACGATGGGGGAAAGCGTGGGCGACGGTGAGGGGAAGCGTGGGCGTGTGCGTGGGGACATCGGAAACAGTGGGCCAAGCGCGAAGGTGTCGCGATGAACTTGCTTGGTAGTTGATTTCAGCCTCGGGCGATCCAACAAAATTGTCTAGGGTTCGGAGACTTGATTTCATTCCTGACAGGGTGTTGCTGTGGACAGGAATGGGATCTCGTGCAGCGCAACTTTCCCATCTCGCTCAAAAGGCTGGAACAGTAACTGCACACTTCGGGTACTCGATATTGTGTAGAGGTAAAATGGTTACGACAATGTTACCACTTTGTTGAAGCTAATGCGCAGCTACGCTAAGAGTATGTAATTAAGAAACGGGTAATGCAGTAACCACCCTATGCCAATGTTACACTGTACACGTTGAAACTTCTTTTATTTAATTTGTGTTTCCTAAAAGGCCGAAATGGTATTTAAATTTGCTATTAATTATTTGCATAATAAGCAATACATTTTTATTCTATTTCTGAAACCCCAAAACGGAATTACAGTCTAGAAAAGAAAAAGAGCAAATTCAAGAACGACAAAAACATTCAAATGCAAGCTCAAACATTCTCATAATCAAGCTCATCATCGAACTCCAACTCCTCTGACGCATCTTCGTCACCCAAGAGATCGGCAGCAAGCTGAGACTCTGGCACATCCTCCCACCCAACCAGGCAGATCCTCCCTATGCCAAGGTACTTGCCCTCCACATGAACCGGGCCACGGTTTATCCAGCGTTGAATGACACGAGCCTGGCGTGTCATTGCCGAAGAGTCACCAGAACGCCTCAGCTGCGTCCTTGCTGCGGTCGGATTGCGCAGCCTGAAGCGCACCTACACCACACCAGAAAAGAATCATAAAACAGAGCAGCATGTCATCTTTCCGACCTTGGTATTAAGCCAGCCGATCGAGGCGACACCAAAGCAGATCCACACCCTGAAGAATTGTGGAGGCGAGGGATGATGGGGGAAAATTGGCTGGGTGCATGAGGGTTGACATGCACTACAGGACAGAGATGATGGGGAGAAACAGAGAGCAAAGTATGAGAATCAGTGAGACAAACACTCCTTCCTGAATCTTGGAAACCACAGATGAAACCAATCAGGGCAAAGAGGGGAGAGAAGAACGTTCAGGCACCCAAGCAAGGAGGGGAGAGAAAGACAAAAACGTGCCAGCATTTAAGGCAAGGAGGGGAGAGAAAGACAAAAACGTGCCAGCATTTAAGGCAAGGAGGGGGGAGAAGATGAATCATATTTGAGAAACGGAACAACCTGCAGGCAGTCAAAGGCACAGAGGGGAGAGGTGAGCATGCGCGCATGCCAAAGCAAGGCGAGCGAGAGATGAGCCTGCGGACAAATTAAGGAAAGCAGAGGAAGAGATTAGCATGCGGGCATGCTAAGGCCAAGTGACGGAGATATGACCTGACAATCCAAAGAAAGGAGAGCAAGAGAATAAACCTGCAGGCAATTCAAGGCAAGAAGAGCAATAGAATAAACCTGCAGGCAATTCACAGCAAGGAGAGGGAGGGAGATGAATAACCAGCAGCGCACACAAGGTAGGAGAGGAAGAGAATGAACCTCCATGCAAGAAGAGGGAGAGAAGATGAATTACCATCAGCGCACACAAGCCAAGGAGAACAAGAGAATAAACCTGCAGGAGATTCAAGGCAAGGAGAGAGAGAGGATGAATAACCAGCAACGCACACAAGGCAAAGAGTGGGAAAGAATGAACCTGCAAGCATTAAAAGGGAAGGAAAAAAAAGCTGAAGTACCACCAGCGCACACAAGGAAAGGAGAGGGAGAGAATCAACCTGCAGGCAATCCAGGGAAAGGAGAGGAAAAGATGAGCACGCGGGCAATCCAAAGCAAGGACAGGAGGAGAATAAACCTGCAGGCAATTCAAGGCAAGGAGAGCAAGAGAATAAACCTGCAGGCAATTCAAGGCAAGGAGAATGAGGGAGATGAATAAACAGCAGCGCGCACAAGGCAACGGGAGGGAGAGAATAAACCTGCAGGCAATTCGACGCAAGGAGAATGAGTGAGGATGAATAACCATCAGCGCACACAGGGCAAGGAGAGGGAAAGAATGGACCTGCAAGAATGGAAAGGGAAGAAAGGAAAAGCCTATGAATTACCAGAAGCACACAAGGCAAGGAGAGGGAAAGAATGGACCTGCAAGAATGGAAAGGGAAGAACGAAAAAGCCTATGAATTACCAGAAGCACACAAGGCAAGGAGAGCGTTAGAATAAGCCTGCAGGTGATTCAAGGCAAGGAGAGGGAGAGTGGATGAAAACCCAGCAGTGCACACAATGCAAGGAGAGGGAAACACTGAACCTGCAGGCAATTCAAGGCAAGGAGGAGTGAGGATGAATAACCAGCATCGCACACAAGGCAAGGAGGGGGAAAGAATAGACCTGCAAACACTAACAGGGAAAGAAAGAGAAAGTAGTTGAATAACCAGCAGCGCACACAAGGCAAGGAGAGGGAAAGACTGAACCTGCTAGAATCCAAAGGGGAAAAAAAGGAAAGAAGATGAATTACCAGCAGCACACACAAAGCAAGAAGAGTGTTAGAATAAGGCTGCAGGCTATTCAAGGCAAGGAGAGGGAGAGCGGATGAAAACCAGCAGTGCACACAATGCAAGGAGAGGGAAACACTGAACCTGCAGGCAATTCAAGGCCAGGAGAAGGAGTGAGGATGAATAAGCAGCAGTGCATACAAGGCAAGGAGAGGGAAACAATGAACCTGCAAGCACTAAAAGGGAAAGAAAGGGAAAGCAGATGACTAAACAGCAGCAGACACAAGGCAAGGAGGGAGAGACTCAACCTGCAGGCAATCAAAGGAAAGGAGTGAGGATGAATAACCAGCAGCGCACACAAGGCAATGAGAGGGAAAGAATGAACCTGCAAGAATCAAAAGGGTAATAAAGTGAAAGCAGATGAATTACCGACAGCACACACAAGGCAAGGAGAGGGTTAAAATAGACCTGCAGGCGAAGGGAAAGAGAGGGAGAGCGGATGAAAAACCAGCAGTGCACACAATGCAGGGAGAGGGAAATAATGAACCTGCAGGCAACATCAAGGAAAAGAGAGGGAGAGATGATGAGTAAACTGCAGCACACACAAGGTAGAAAGAGGTTGGAATAAACCTGCAGACGAGGGAGAGGGTGAGAAGATGAAAAGCAGAAACGCACACACGGCCAGGAAAGGAAGAGAAAAAACCTGCAGGCAATTCAAGGCAAGGAGAGGGAGAGAGGATGAATAATCAGCAGTGCACACGAGTCAAGGAGAGGGAGAGAAAAACCCTGCAGGCAAATCAAGGCAAGGAGAAGAAGAGATGAGTATGTGGGCAATCTAAAGCAAGGAGAGGAAGAGAATAAACCTGCATACAATTTAAGGCAAGGAGAGAATGAGAATAAACCTACATGCAATTCAAGGCTAGGAGAGGAAGAGAATAAACCTGCAGGCAAGGAGAGGGAGAGAAGATGAAAACGTAGCAGAGTACACAAGCGACAGAAAGGGAGAGAATGAACCTGCATGCGATTTAACACAAGGAGTGGAACAGGAAACTTGCAGACAACTCAACGCAAGGAGAGGAAGAAAATAAACCTGCAGGCAATTTAACGCAAGGAAAGGAAGACCTGCAGGCAATTCAAGGCAAGGAGAGGAAGAGAATAAGCATGCATGCAATCAAAGGCAAGGAGAGAATGAGAATAAACCTGCAGGCAAGGGGAGGAGGGAAGATGAAAACATAGCAGCGTACACAAGCCAACGCACGGGAGAGAATGAACCTGCAGACCATTCAAGGCAGGGAGAGAAATAGAGAATGAATAACGAGCAGCGCACACAGGCAAAGGGGAGGGAGAGCGTGAACCTGCAGGGAAGTAAAGCCAGGGAGAGGAAGATATGATCATGCAGGTATGCCAAGGCTAGGGGAGGGAGGGATGAGCGTACTGGTAGATTAGGCCCAGAAGAGGGAGAAATGATGAATAACGAGCAGCGCACACAAGGCAAGGAGGGGAGAGACTGATGACTTGAAAACATATTAAACAGAGAACCGGTTGGAATACACCCATGCAAACCTTACCACCGCAAGGATGAGCATAAGCTGGACTGGATAGAGGCCGATGGGCAGCAGCGGGTCGTAGCTCTGTGGGACAAACAATCGAGCACACTCCAGGAATGCCGGGCTTGAGAACGCTTCTCCATCAGCAACATGCCAATAAATCCCAAGTTCCTCTGCATATGACAAGCGAAGCGGAAATGTAAAACCTGGTGTTTCCAAACATAACATGCGTGATTGCTTAGAAACAGGGAATACCAAGGCAACACTTACTGTCTGAGTTTTTGGAAACGTAATCCTCGCAACGAACCGCGAAATCCTTTCCCGGTTGAAATGTGACCTTTCCGTCATTCCCCCTTTTGGGGACCAGCAGGCGTAAAGGTGTCCTTCGCAGGGAGTACTGACACGCCGAGTAGATCTTCCCAATCCTGTTGTTGAAACGGCGCTCGGTCGTTTGCGGGATTTTCAGGTCCTTGAGCGTGGCCTTGAGCTTTCCGGATGCCGTTGTGCCAAAAGGAATGCCGGAGTTTGCTGTGCACGCAACCAAACGTGTTGTTAGGCAAGATCAACTTCAACTCAAACAACCCAAACAAACAAAGCATTACCTAGAAGGCGCTCTGTCACATATGAGCGCGTCGGATTGAGGTTCATGTGCTCTTCATCAAAGAGCATATCATTGACCGAATCTTTGACAAGCCTCTGCAACATGGCATTGCGGTATTAGGGTTAGAGTATTTCAAGGCTGAATCTGAAATCACAACGCTTCTTCAAAGTCTTACCTCGACGTTGACGTGGCGAACCTGCTCGTCAACGACATGTACTGAAAGGGTCGTTGCCATGGACAGCGCCTCCTTCAGAGAGATTGAAATCAGTGAGATTGAAATCAGTGAGATTGAAATCAGTGAGATTGAAATCAGTGAGATTGAAATCAGTGAGATTGAAATCAGTGAGATTGAAATCAGTGAGATTGAAATCAGTGCGATTGAAATCAGTGAGATTGAAATCAGTGAGATTGAAATCAGTGAGATTGAAATCAGTGAGATTGAAATCAGTGAGATTGAAATCAGTGAGATTGAAATCAGTGAGATTTAAATCAGTGAGATTTAGATCAGTGAGATTGAAATCAGTGAGATTGAAATCAGTGAGATTTATATCAGTGAGATTGAAATCAGTGAGATTTAAATCAGTGAGATTTAAATCAGAGAGATCGAGATAACTGAGAGTGGATTCAGTGAACTCGTAAACATTGGGATCAAATGCATTGAGAGTGAGATTAGTGAGATCAAAAGCAGTGATGGTGAAATCAGTGAGTTATAAAGCTGTGAGAGTGAAATCAGTAGGATCAAAACCAGTGGTGGTGACATCAGTGCATGAGAGTAGAACCAGTGGGATCAAAAGCAGGGAGAGTAGAATCAGTGGGATCAAAAGCAGGGAGAGTAGAATCAGTGGGATCAAAAGCAGGGAGAGTGGAATCAGTGGGATCAAAAGCAGGGAGAGTGGAATCAGTGGGATCAAAAGCAGGTGGAGTAGAATCAGTGGGATCAAAAGCAGGTGGAGTAGAATCAGTGGGATCAAAAGCAAGGAGAGTAGAATCAGTGGGATCAAAAGCAAGGAGAGTGGAATCAGTGGGATCAAAAGCAGGGAGAGTAGAATCAGTGGGATCAAAAACAGGGAGAGTAGAATCAGTGGGATCAAAAGCAGGGAGAGTGGAATCAGTGGGATCAAAAACAGGGAGAGTGGAATCAGCGAGATCAAGAGCGGTGAGAGTGCAATCAGTGAGATCTAAAACAGAGAGATTGAAATCAGTGAAATCAAGAGCAGTGTGGGGTAACAGTGATGCTCTCTGGGTTACCTGCTGTAAAGGCAGGACATCAAAGGTTAAAGGGGAAATGCGATGGAAAGGGCGGTACCGGGTGTTAGTGATTCTCCTTATCCACATACACGAATCTAGCCTGCTGGTTCATGACAAACCTACAACACGACAAACAATCTACTGGATGAAACAACAAATATTGGCAAGTACACGGTTGCAGAGTACTTACACACGAGCCATCTCTTGCAGATTCTTCAGTGACTTCTCAGTGTGATAGGCGCGATGCCAAGCGAGGGTATGCCACAAACAAAACAGCTCCACGGTCCTCAACCACTCTGGGTTCATGTCCTTGACGGTTGACATCAGAATGGGCAGCACCTGCATAACAGCCTGGTGCTGGAAGGCATAGAACGTGGCGTTGCCACTGAAGTATCCGTCAGTATGCGCGGGAAGACGGAAGAAGGATTGGCGGCTGTACTGGGTGACGGTAGATAGTGCCCTGTCTAGTTGTCTAAGAGCCTCGTTTGATAGCTGCTGCTTCAAGCTATCTACAATGTGCTTGTAGACCCCCAAAGAGGACATGTGCATGATGTCCACCATCAGTTGCCTATATGGGTTGCCGAAGCTTGTCTCACCAAATCGAAATCCCCACAGTGCGCTCTGCAATCGTCAAGACGAAGACATGTTAGGGACGAACTAACCAAGGTACACCCCATAACAGTCACTGCAAGTTGAAAATGCTTGGCTAAACCCACCTTGACAAAATGAGTGCTGTGCTTGACCTCCAATTCTTCCATTGCTTTTTTGGTTGGGGCTAGCTGCATTTCACGGACGAGCTTCTGCTGCTCAATCTCCGTTCGATATTTCATAGGGTAAGTCATGTCACCGAGCTTTTCATTTGGAACTTTGCATTTTGGGCAGGGGAAAGCAGTTTTGATCCCCGATTTGGTACCTGCCACCTTGCACTGCTCCGGGTAGTCCCCAACATATGCATAGGTGACAGGGTAGACCCAACGTTCGATCCCATAAGGGTCTGTCAGCTTCTCCCCCCTGTAGGGTAGGGTACGAATCAGATAGTCAATGTCAAACAAAATACGTAGAAACCAAATACAACATACCCAGCAGGGGGAACGGAGGGGCCATGCATGGACGATGCAGAGAGGTGGGCAGAGAAAAACGACGGAGGAGGGGAGGGCCAGGGGGACGGCAGGGATGAGGGCAGGGCGGAGGACAGGGAGGAGGGCAGGGAGGATGGTAGAGAGGAGGGCAGGGAGGATGGTAGAGAGGAGGGCAGGGAGGATGGTAGAGAGGAGGGCAGGGAGGATGGTAGGGAGGAGGGCAGGGAGGAAAGCAGGGAGGATGGTAGAGAGGAGGGCAGGGAGGAGGGCAGGGATGAAACAACATTGTCGTCCTTTACCATGCGAAAGGGCCACTCTGAACCACTCACTTTTTTAGAACGTTCATTTGTTCCTCCAAGATCATGCGCAGTGCATCGTGGTACACTTCATTCCGCCTGCGCGTGTCGTCAGCCCCTTTGAAGGTCTGGTCGTCAATAACAGGAAGGAGAGCGACCAGACGGCGGCCGTGAGATTTCCATCTGTTTGAGGAAGAGACGTTAGCGAGCGATATGTATACAGGCCACCCGGTCACCCCGCCGTCAGTAGTCAAAGTTGTCTGATCAGAGTAAAGGATAACAGCGGCAACATGACCATTCACGGGCAACGCATCTTCCACCTCTGCCCACCAGGTTCCAGTTTCAGGACCCTTGTAAATCCTCATCTGTTTTTTTCCAAACCTACGAGCCCGAACCACGAATCCCTCTGCATTGGCCCGGTTCTGGTACAGACCTCGTACACATGACATGCTTGAGCGCCAATACAGTACTACAGGCTTTAAGTCACCTGGCTTCCCAAGGCTTGTGGTTTGAAAGCCCTCCAACTGGGCCTCTGCAGTTTGTTTCTCCTCGAACCTATCAAAATCCCCTAGACTCCTAAGGTTAACACTACCCGGATTCTCAAGGGCCTCGATCAATATCTGAATCAGTTCTTTGATGTCAGCCCGGGACAAACCTGCACCCCCTGCAGCTGTCCTACAGAACTTGTAGAACCTACCATCCATGTTAACTAAAGAGGGGTTGCCTGCAGGTGAAAGGTCGTAGCCAGTCAAGTCTGCGTTGGGGGTCGCTGCATCCGTCTCTGGTTCTAATCGGTCCCCCAATTCGCATGGAGTAACAATCCTACGTTTTCGGCTTCTGCACTCAAGAGCTTGACCTGCGGCCACAAAGCTACGCATGCTATAGCCCATGCCCGCCGTGCTAGCCCCAGCTGCTGCCCTACCCTGAATGCCGTGAAACGTATGCTGGCCCCTGCTCATGTGCGACGCTTTCAGTCGCTGAGTGGCAAATTTTGCATCACAGCCATCCTGATCGCACTCAAACGGGAGGCTTTGTTGATCCATGTTGCTGCTGCGCGACGCCGCTAAACCTGATGCTGCGAAGTTACCTGCTGCACCGCGCCACTGCGGCCTGCTGCCACCGCTTTGCTGATGCGAGCGCGCCTGCTGCTGCGAACTCATGCTGCTGCTACTGCCGCCGCTGCGCACTTGCTGCAGCTGCCAATGCTGCGAAAGCACCTGATGCTGTCAACCCTGCAAACGAACCGGTTCCTGCTGTTCATGCAACGTGCTCTGATCCTTCACGCCCAAATGCCGAACGCACATGCTACTAATGTGCACCTGATGCAACACGCGTACATGCCAATGCTGCTGCTGCTGCTGCTGCTATGCGCTGCTGATGGCTGTGCATCGAACACATCTGCTGCTGCTATGCGCTGCTGATGCTGACGCATCGAACACAGCTGCTGCTGCTATGCGCTGCTGATGTTGATGCATCGAACACATCTGCTGCTGCTATGCGCTGCTGATGCTGATGCATCGAACACAGCTGCTGCTGCTATGCGCTGCTGATGTTGATGCACCGAACACATCTGCTGCTGCTATGCGCTGCTGATGTTGATGCACCGAACACAGCTGCTGCTGCTATGCGCTGCTGATGTTGATGCACCGAACACATCTGCTGCTGCTATGCGCTGCTGATGTTGATGCACCGAACACAGCTGCTGCTGCTATGCGCTGCTGATGTTGATGCACCGAACACATCTGCTGCTGCTATGCGCTGCTGATGTTGATGCACCGAACACAGCTGCTGCTGCTATGCGCTGCTGATGTTGATGCACCGAACACAGCTGCTGCTGCTATGCGCTGCTGATGCTGATGCACCGAACACATGTGCTGCTGCTATGCGCTGCTGATGTTGATGCACCGAACACAGCTGCTGCTGCTATGCGCTGCTGACGTTGATGCACCGAACACATCTGCTGCTGCTATGCGCTGCTGATGCTGATGCACCGAACACAGTTGCTGCTGCTATGTGTTGCTGATGCCGATGTAACGAACACATCTGCTGCTGCTATGCGCAGCTGCTAACGCTAGGCCCGAAAGACTTCTGAAGCACCTGCTACTGCCGCGGCTCCTATCGCCTCTGCTGCTGCCCGTTGCTGCTACTGCTGATGCTGCGTATGCACCTGCTGATGCGATCCCACCTGCTGCGCGCCGCAGCTGCTAGCGCGCTCCGGTGCTTTACGCGCACATCCCGCTGCCGCTGCTCCAAACGCCCCTGCAAATGCGCGTTGCTGCTACTGCTGATGCTGCGAATGCACCTGCTGATGCGATCCCACCTGCTGCGCGCCGCTGCTGCTAGCGCGCTCCGGTGCTTTACGCGCACATCCCGCTGCCGCTGCTCCAAACGCCCCTGCAAATGCGCGTTGCTGCTACTGCTGATGCTGCGAATGCACCTGCTGATGCGATCCCACCTGCTGCGCGCCGCTGCTGCTAGCGCGCTCCGGTGCTTTACGCGCACATCCCGCTGCCGCTGCTCCAAACGCCCCTGCAGATGCGCGTTGCTGCTACTGCTGATGCTGCGAATGCACCTGCTGATGCGATCCCACCTGCTGCGCGCCGCTGCTGCTAGCGCGCTCCGGTGCCTTACGCGCACATCCCGCTGCCGCTGCTCCTAACGCCCCTGCAGATGCGCGTTGCTGCTACTGCTGATGCTGCGAATGCACCTCCTGATGCGATCCCACCGGCTGCGCGCCGCTGCTGCTAGCGCGCTCCGGTGCTTTACGCGCACATCCCGCTGCCGCTGCTCCTAACGCCCCTGCAGATGCGCGTTTCTGCTACTGCGGATGCTGCGAAAGCACCTGTTGATGCGATCCCAGCTGCTGCTCGCCGCTGCCTGCTCTACGAGCACGTCCTGCTGCCGCTTCTCCTAACGCCCCTGCTGCAGCGCCCTGCTGCTGCTGCAGACGATGCTGCGAATGCACCTGCTAATGCGATCAGGTTGCTGCGCGCTGCTGCTTCAAGGACGCTGCGGTGTCTCACGCACACCATGCCGCTGCCTCTGCTCCTGCTGCTGCGATGTGCTGCTGCCCACCCGCTCATACGATTCTAGCGCGCACCGCTACTACCTGCGGATGCCGCAAACGCACCTACGCGCTCATGTGCTCCAAGCGCGCGCCTGCTTATCTAAACATCTATTTGTGCTAAAACACACTGCCGTTTGTCCTATTGGTGGTCGGCTCCTCGTAGCGGGCAAGTGCAAATGATAAGATGAAGGGCGCAACTATAGAACCAACGTTTTTAAATCTAGGAAAGCGGTTGTTGAGTAAGCTAAATTCCGAGCCGCGTATTTCTCACAGCAGCAGGATAAACTTGTCGGGAGTGAATTGAGCTAATGCTCCTCTGTGATTGCCAAAGTGAGTTTCCAATTTTCGCGCCAAACCACACCCAGCATCCAAACTGACATGTTCCTGGCCTGACGAATGGCATCCATACACCATTGAGAGATGAGTGCCTTAACGAATCCGAAATGCATTTCGTTACATTGTGCGGAATGCGCAGAAGGTTGAACAACCCTAAGCGAGGAACGCAATCCATACACAGTATCGAGGTTCACATTAAACTGTACATAGTCGATTTTGTAATCAGCTCAGAAACATAACATTCACTGTATCAACAATGTCGAGGTGTTTCTTAACCCGAACAAAACGGCTGGTTCTCGAGCCGCCACCGGAGCAACTTTCCCAACCTGCGGAAGTTGCCTGTGTCACTCATCCCAATCTCTCGCAACTGGCGTTGGGAAGGAAACTTGAAAACCTAAACCTGCTGAGACTGAAAGGCGAGTGATGCGCGACATGCCAAGCTCGGAAGTTGCAAGTAGCACGTTTTCAACATCTATTCCGCGAGGCCAACAATTGCGATGGAGGTGTGTGAGAGACGGTGGGGAGAAGCGTGGGGGACGCGGAAGGTGATAGGTCCAAATGCGATGTTTGGGGATGGGCTAGGATTAAATGTGAAAATGCTCATGGCCTATGCTTTAGTGGCTTTTTATTCTATCTCTTCGCATGATCTAATCGCTTCGCGTACTATGGAAATCGCACGACCTGAATTACCAAAGGAGGCAAAGTGTGCACATTTTGAGCCCTTGTTCCTTCAGGTGGGTGTGGTTGGGACTCTCGCCAACCAAACCCGTTCTGCTCTACGACACTGTTTTTTGGCGCTTTGTTTTCTGGTAACCAGCCTGGCTCGGGAGGTCAACTGTGGGTTCGGTAGGCAAACTGTGCACAGTTTGCCTTCTTTTTTTTGTAATTCAGGTCTTGGGCTTTAATATTGCCGCCCATACACAAGTGGGAATCTGCAGGCTCCAACTTCTAGGCCTGACGCCACGGAAGTACGACCGAAAGACCCACCTGATTATTTTTTCAATGCCCACATTGTAGAGAATGTTTCTGAGTTTAGTTCCAACTTGTCGCTCCTTTTCTCTCTCAGCGCTGAAACACTGACTGAAAGGGTAGAAAATGTCAAGATTGCACTTCGGCGCTTACGGTAGGTTCATTCCCTAGAATATTCTCGTTTTCTTGGGGGTAGTACAGTACAATATAAGCGGCAAGACTCTGCGGGACTGGATGCACTGCACGCGTAATCTTTTAGCATTC